TTAGTTTATCGATTGATGCTATTGGTCCACTTTCTCATTTTGCACGTTGTTACCCACTTCGGCACCACCCAAAACTTCAACCTCCTCGTCATCAACCACCACGAACTCGTACTCGTACTAAGGTGGGAAGATAGTCCATCCAACCTCATCTTGCTTCTATTTAAGTTTGACTTCAAGGTTGAACTCAGTTGTCTTGCTCTCTTTGTCCTCCTCTACCCCTTCCTCCTAAGGTCCAAACGTAATGCCCGTCACGTCCACTTAGGATGTTGTGCCTTCACCTTTTTCCTACAATTGGTGAAGGCCATGACAAGTGTATTGGAGAATGTGGCTGATTGAATAAAGTTGGGGATGTGCTACTCCATGGAGTTATGGACCTCCAGCCCTACTTGTCTCCGAACCTTAGTCAGCTCAGCACTTTTCATCTTTGCAAGCTTTTGTTTTTTGCCCAGTCAACTCAATGTTCTTCCTAGCATTTGCCAACCCATTCCTCAATTTTTACAACTTGGACATCAAGTTGTCAAAGCTTTACTTGGTTGCTTTCTTCTTCTGCTCAAGCTCCTCATTCTAGGACACCAGATTGTTGCACTATTCAAGGTAGCTGAAGTACTTAGTTGCTAGATCATTAACAAGGTTAGCTATTTGCATTACACATCGAAGTCAAAATAAAATACAAACTAGTAATATTAAAACCATGAACAAAGACAGAAGTTTCTAAAACCCATACCTCAAGAGCATGACAAACCACCCCAACTTCGCCGTTGGCATCCATGTCTTCTCTCGCTTGCCTAAGATCCACCTCTAGGAAGGTGGAGTTAATGAATCATTTTGCAGCAGTCTTGCTACCTAACTCGCAAAAGCTAGACTTCTGCACTAGGAAAGGTACTGTTCTCTTCCCTTTCCCGTGTGTCACCACTCCAACCTCCCACAATTGAAGATCGACATCAATTGGTAGGGGCCGAGGTATGAACTCCACTGGCACCTCTTCTAGCTGTTGCACCTCTGTTCTCCTCTTCTTATACACAACCCCCTTTTTTTCTACTCCTTTCCGAGCTACCTCTAAGCTCAGCTAGAAGTTAGAACCCCTCGAGTGCCAACTGGCATAGCATGGGTACTAAAGGTGACAGCTCTAGTCCTTTCCTCCACCTGGGTTGTGGCTAGAGCCTTGGACTTCTTCTTCGGTAGAGTGATGCTACTACCCCCAAACAATAGATGATTCATTTCTTTTGCAAAACAAACAATAGTTAATACTTTAATCATAAATACCTTCTTAGGTAAGCCAAAGTTAGTTAGGCACACCTCCACTCATTGAGCTCCATCCATATATCTCAGTTGCATCAATCATCTCTCAGCTCATCAGACAAAAGATGTCAACCAGCTCTTTCCCCACCCTTGCCAACCTTTCCACATCCTCTTGGTCCCCCTCACTAAGGCTATATTTGTTCGGGCTAACCTTCTTTCCCTTCCACCTACACAATGCCTCCATTTCTACATTGGTCCTCCCCCACTACATATCATTAGCAAAAGAGAATTTATGCTTCCACCCCTTGATGGAGGATGGGCCTAAACTGAAGAGATTTTTGCTCTAACCTCCACTAACCCGGGGTGTGAAGTAGAATCACCCTTTTTCCTTATTACTTTTACCCTTTATCAAAAAGAAATTTTTGAACAAGCTGACTGTTGACATGATCACACCTCGTACCAGGTAGTATACTAGGAAGCCTACGACCAACCGAACTGCATTAGGAATGAGCTAAGTCATGCCCCAGCTATACTCATTTAGTAGAGCCACCAATAGCTCTGAAATTGGGAACCTCAACTCAACTGCCAAATAGTTGGCATAAAAGGGCATCTAGTAATCCCCAAGAGTTGAACAAGCTCACTCCTCTTCCCTAACAGGTGCCAAGAATACGTGAGGTGGGATATGATAGTTGTCCACCTAATGCACCAGGCTACTTCAGTTCTTCTAGGAGGCCTCATAACTCCTCACCTCAAAAACTGTATCCCTATCATCAAAACGTCCCAACCTACCATTACCAACCTCCAAAATTTGGATAGGAACTTCACGTTTCCCCGTCTTCCTCACATCCTTCACTTCTTGAAGTTTCAACTTCGGACTCTTCCTCCTCCTTACCTATAGGCTGCACCTCTTCACCTCTTCCAATGTTTAGTGTCTCTTCTGATGACATTTCCTTAATTTCATAGCTCTCACTACAAGGGGGGGTGGTGAATAGTTAGGATCCTCTATAAGTTCTCTCTCATGCTTTATCTCGCTCTCTGACCTAACTCTAACTTCCCTAAGTGGACTTAAGCCTGAGTTTGAGAAAGTTAAAGGTACGTTAGACACCTCACTCAAATCATAAACAAAGCTCATGAAGTTACTTGACTTATGGAAACTAAGCTGCAACACCTATGAAATTCCACCCAACGCTGAATGCACGAATTGGGTGAAACTAGAGCTCAAATCACAAGATGCTCGAATAGGATTTTGGTAGCACCTCAGTACGAATTCAATTAGGTGAACTCAAAATTACCTAAGTCTGCTTATTTATACTAATCCCTTAATGCCCTCAATGGTCACGATCGTTCGCATTGAATGGTTGCAATTGCATCTCTTCGAATTCGATGGTTATTTTTTATCATGCTCATTTATTACAATACATCACACAAGGACAATTGTCGGCTAACAGATTCACTTCCTTTCAGTTGCATTCCAAAGGCCCATCCAAATCTAATGTACTATTTTAACTACCTTTTAAATATATTCATACTCAGTTATCAAATTTTCACTTCAGCTCTAATTGTAAATTACATGACCAGATGTCATGGTATTTTCACTTCGGTTTTGACTATAAATTACATGACCACGTATCATGATATTTTCACTTTGGCTCCAGCTATAGGTTACGTGATAGCATGTCATGATGCTTTCACTTCGGCTACAAGTCACATATACCTACTATCCACACAACTCCCACATCATTCACAAATGAATGACTTTTGGGGGGGAATAGTGTGATGGTAGTTCGAGGTTATTTACCTTAGATGAGCTAAACTATTTTAGACAAATGACCTTAAGGGGCCTTAAACACCACTTGAAACATGATGAGCTCAGATGAGGTCAAGCTCGTCCTTTCTATACTGGCTCTATAGTAACTTCGTACATACTCAAACTTTATATGAGATATATACGATGATTGACACATATAATCTCGGTTTTCCACAAGAAAAACACATGGACACCCCTTTGAAGCTTATAAGTACCCCTCATGGGTCCTTTTCAAAAGCTAATAAAAATCAATCTCAAGTGTAGTTTGTGTTTCCTTTTCAGTAGATCCAATTATTACTCATTTACACATCGAAATGTCTACCTCGAGGACTAACCTCGGGACATTGTAGGTTAACCAAAGAAAAGATTTGAACGAGAAAAGACATTGGAGTTCTTTGCAGCTACAACTACTATTACTACCCTATTTGGCTGCCTTGACCAAAATGCCAAATCCATCCAACCCCATCATTATGATTTAGTTTGACAAAGCTATTAAATAATTGTAGTTATAAGTTTTTTTTAACCTTTTTGACATCTTTAAAATATATTTAGTATATTTAATATATTTAATATTTATTTTAATTAATATTTTATATATTTTCAAAATAATTTTTTAAAAAAAACTTAAAAATTAACGTATTAATAAGTGTTCTCAAATGAAGCTTAATCCACTAAACCTTTTTTAGGGAGACCCCTTTTCCACGCACCAAACAGAAGAAAAGAAAGTATCAAAACAAACCAACCAATGGTTTCTTTTTTTCTTTTTTTGAGGAAAACCAATCAATAGTTAAGTTAATTTTGATTAGGAGCATTAGTGAGTGATTATCTTATGATAACTTACAAGTTATGAAAGTTAAACTTGACTTAAGTTGGACTCACTTTGTAAATGAGTCAAACTTGAACTCAAGAGTAAAAAGAAAAAAAGAAAAAAGGAAAAAAGCTTGAGTTTCTGTTTACATGCTTGTTCGTTAGCTACCTGGTTTAGATTTTAAAATCTATATATGATATAATGAAATGCAATAATTTCGTTTAATAGAGCTTTTGATTTTAATGCTTAATATAAGTCATAAGTCAATAGAAATTGAAACTATTTATAATGCATAAGTAAACTAGTAATAGTATAAAATGTAAATCCAAATTCATTAATTATGAAAAATAAAGAGAACAACATAAAATTTAAAACTTTTCTTAGTTAAAATTTAAGATAATTACAAGAATATTTTGGGTTGCTTTTCAATAGCATTTGTAGTGTTTTTGAAATAAAATGTAATAGTTACAATATTTTAGAGGCTAAGACAACATCATTATGGAGTTTAATACTTAATATAACTCATAAATCAAATAGAGTATGAAATTATGCACGAGTAATGCATAGGTAAGAGTAATGCACGGGAAATGCTTAGCATTCACTCATGCTTAAACTCACAAATAAACTCAAGTTTACTCAAGTATTCACAAACTACAGCTTGAACTCAATCATTTTGAAGTCGATAAATATTCAAGCTTGACTCAAACTTGAATATTTAAGGTGAATATTTAAGGTGAGTTCAAGTGTACAATGACTTAAATATTTGACTTGATTTGTTAGTATCCCTAATTTTGGAGAAACTCTTCAATGCAACAAGGGATACCACATTAGCGTTATCCCTGTCCACTGAAATCATGACAACTCATCATTTCATACAAGTTAGCAACGCAGAAGTAACAAGGGCTAACTGATGCAATTTCAATGCCGTCTACTTAATATCGTCAAATTCTAACTGTTCGAGCTCCCTTTACAGTGTCGGAGAGCGGTCTTCGATCTACGATTCCTAAAAGCTTTGGGCAGGCAAGGAAGGTGACGACGCGGGCTTGAGGCAGCAAGGGCTAGGCGATGCGGCAGGATCTCGGGTGGGGCAAAATGAAGCCGGCCGAGTGAGAATCACCAATACAAGTAATCAAATGAATTGAAAAATGCTTAAAGGTAATTTTATTGAACAATTGGTGTGCATGATTATACATAGCAATTCTTTCAAAAGATCGGTGCAAAAGATCAAAATCAAAACTATTTCATTACCAAATCACTAGGGCCATATTTTCCCTTGTTTTTCAACAACCTCCAGCAAAAAATAGTAGGCACACACCATTCCCCCTTATGCCACCAATCACAAACCTTTAAAGCCTTGCCCTAGCAACTTGCATCAATTTCATCACCCAAAATTTCATACAAGCTCTCATTGCCAAGCCACTTACTGTTAAATAATGAAGATTGCCTTCCATCCCCTAGTTGCGTACCTATATGTGGTTTAGTCTCCCTTAATTTCATGGGTTTCTTCCAATACCACAAGCGATTAATGCATACCGCTGCACTCCACAGACTACCGCCCTTTAAATAAAGAGCTTGAACCCATCTAGCCCATAATGATTCCCTGTTAGCACACATCTGTCACAAGAACTTGCCAACTGCAGCTTTATTCCAGGACCGAACCTGTTTGAAGCCCAAACCACCCTCAGTTCGAGGAAGACACATATCATCCCAAGCAACTAGGGCCATATACCAAAACTTTCCCTTGCCCCTTTTCAAATGAAGTTTCTACGATAAGAATCAACTTGATCCAAAATTTTACCAAGCGGCAGAAATATGCTGCTCCAACACACCTGCAAATGAAATAATACAGAACTGACTGGTTGAACTCTCCTAGCAAATGACAAATGCTTCACAGCCTAACCAGTAATTCTGCTTTTTAGCTTGTCGAGAATAGGCTCGCAGTCACCCACACTCAACAACTTTCCTGAGATAAGAGGCACCCCTAGGTACTTCATTGGCAGTTTAGCCTCAGAGAAGCCCGCCTACTGAAGGATTATCTTGCTTAAGCTCATCAGACACACCACTGGAAATAAGAGTTTGTCTATTTTTCTTTTCTTTTTTTTCTTTTTCCTTTTTTAATCTTTTTAAAGCTCAAATCTTTTTTTTGATTAGTTGCTTATAAAATATAAAAAAAAGAAGGGAAAACATGATATGTTGAAATGAGTCAGTACTGTATTTTTAGAATGTGTCATTGTGACCTCAAATTTATATTCTTTCCTTTCCTTCATCACTCTTATATCAGTTATTGCATTCAAGTATTTTGAGCCTGATTATTGCTTTTTATCTCAAATTTGGGTTAAAGATATCAAATTTTGGATTAGCAAAATGGCTTCCTTCTAAAGGGACACACCACTCTATTGCCCGAATTGAAGGGACATTTGAGTACTAAATCTCACAACTCTCTTTTTCCCTTTTTGTCCAATCCAGCATATGCAAATGGCATTTGATTGAAAGAAGTTTCTTCTACATTACATGTAGGCAGTTAGCATCGGCGTATTTTATGCATGGAATTGTGGATGAGAAGACTATGTCTTTGCACTTGGATTCTTTTTCCTCGAGATTATTTCCGAAAGGAACCAGTTGATAGTTCTCACCAAAGCTTAAATAGCTGGGTAAAGGCATTTAGGAAAATGTCAAAAAGCAATTTTTGCCTTCATTTAGTTAGAATTAGTAAAAAAAAATGATGTTTTGATCTCATGTGAGGTGGACCCTACAGGTAAGCTTTTGTATTCGTAATAAATATCTATGATTGTTATATAGTTGATCTTACCCTTTTTTTTTTCTTTTTTTTCTTTTTTTTGTCTCCAAACCTGAGTTGTGGTTCTTATGCGATTTCTAACAGTTGCAAATGTGCATTCTTTTAGTACTAGAGTTGGCATTTCAGACGTCCAATTAATTTGCATAACCTATTTAATTTCTTTTGTCTAATTCTGTTGTGCATATGCTTTGAGAATGAAAGAGGTATCATTTGTTTCAGTAAATCCCAAATAGCAGAGTCCTTCGCTAAATTAGTATAATATTTAGAAATAAGTTTATTTTTTATTAAAATTAAATTACTTGGATTACAACTATAATTTATTTATTTTTCCGGTAAACATTGTCATATGTTCATTAATTTACTAAAAAAATGAGCTATCGTGCTTTGTAATTTACTTAACCAAAAATACAGCTGTCAGCTGGAAGAAAAACGCTTCCTATCATTGATAATAAACCCAAAATAAGTTCCTTCACTACAACTTTACTCATGGTAGGTGTCAAAATCATAATTTGTTCTTCAGGTTGTCAATGCTGAGAATCAAATTAAAAGAGAGCATATTAGAAGTTGTGATAATTTTCTTGCAAACAGGCCTTACTTCTTTTTGGCAAATAGTTTTCAATCAATGATTTATAATAGCTTCTTAAGTTCAAATATGGCTTTTTCACTTTTTCACTTTTTTTATTATGATTGTATAAGTGTGTTAAGTATTTAGGTTCAGTGTATAAAGGAACAAAGTTTCCAAATAAAAGTTGAGAATTTTTTTTTTTCTTTGCACCTTTAGCTAGAAACTTCGGTGAAGCAAAGGTTGTGCAGATAACTAATATGATAAACAAACTATGTAATTAACTGCTTGCCAAATATCAGCATCTTGATATTGAAAGCATTTGATGGATAAAAAACATGCGTCAACTTACTAAGGCATATTCTAAACATTATTTCATGTTCCAAATATATGATTTGTATTACTCAAATAAACTGTACCGTAATAATGGTAGGCCAAAATGAAAAAGAACAGTAACTTACAATGCTAATTCTCTTCTCCTATAAGTTTATAGCTTCTGCATATAATCTTTTTCCTAGATAGTTTCATACTTAAGGATCGTTTGCTTCTTTTTATACCCATAATATTATTAATTTAAATCAAAACTACTTTAATTAAATAACTTTCAATCAACAATCAAAACATGTCACCCAGTCGAGATGATACCCAATCAATTTATTAAATTGTTCTTACTTGAAATACCATGTCTACTAACATACATTTATTAAAAATATTTAAATTATCGATTAAAAAAAAACCTTAATGAAACAAAGTAAAAATTTTAAATTATAAACTTTGATGACAATTAATTGTCAAATATAAATTATCAACTACAAACTCCATTTAAGGGGTTAATACAAACACCCCATGCACTATTGCATATAAACGATTACAAAAACAATACCTAGTCATCGACCAGGTTTAAAGTACTAGTATCTTTTAATTTCATAGGTGGTAAGTTCTAAACAAAGAAACAGAGAAGGGACAAAAAGAAGGAATGTTCATGAAAGAAGGAACACTAGAAGCAAAAAATTTTCATAAAAGGAAACACAAAACAAAACAAGTCCATTCAAGTAGTCCAACAAGAGCATGCCGTCAAGATATAATATAACATTATAGAATAAGTTCAATGTTCTGTTTTACCTTGTCAAAAAGATCGCAGTTGGATTTCCAGGAGCTGGAGGATTCTGATTTAATAGAGAGGTAAGAGGACCAGCTTTTGCACAGGCATTAGGATCAGTTGCAGACAAAACTTCCACCTCTTCAAGACCAAGTTGTCTCTTAATCAAGTCCAAGTTCTCCTGAAGGACGTCAATTTCTCCAAATGGAAGCTTCAAATCTAAGGCATGAACCCCAAGTTTAATTGCTTCATCCTTCTTGAATCTCAAGAATGGCATACAAAGCTTCTGGGTCTGTTTGAAGTTTGTAGACTGACCAACACTACCATTCTGTAATGCCTTCAAAATCTCCCCATCTGGAGCAAAAGTATTTGTGTTGTTGTCAAATTTGCTTTGGAGTATCCTCAAGCATTCTGCTTGCCAACCATCAAACTGCTCATTAACATATATGAGACCCTTTAACTTATCCTCAGTAAGAGATGTAACAGGAGCCCCCTTTTTGTTGGCTTTCTTGGAACCTAAAATTTGTTTCTGAAGCAGCTTCCTCATCAAAACAATGGAGTCTTGCAAATATTTATTGGCTTTCTTAAGGGTTGGATCAGGGGAATCAGCAGTAGGCCAGCCAGCTTTAACTACAAAACCTTCCTTCTTCAAAAGCTCCCGCCAGACATACTCAGCATAGTGAGGGCATATTGGAGCAATAAGACGAGTCTGCACATCCATAAAACGCCATACCAGATCATGATTCATGCTGGCACTGCCACAAGAGAACCTGTATTCATCCCTTGCAGCTTGAAGATCATAAAACCCAGTTTTTAGAGCCTCCCGAAACATATAATCCTTGTAATTCTGCTCAGTCATTTTAACAGCAATGTTTATCTCGTTTTCGAAAACTCTATCAGCATATGTGGAGGGGGGACCAGTCCTCAAAGATGATTCTGCGGCTAGAACCTCTTCCATCCATGCAATCTCCTTAGTAAGTCGTAAGATTGCAGCATTTGCAGTCTCAAACACAAAATTTGCGTCATCTACACCATCTCCGGCATCAGCCAGAGAGAAGCGCGTGGCATCAGCAGAGAATTCCTCAATGGCCTGGCGAAGTGTCCTGAAATTTCCAGTAGACTTGGACATCTTCTCAGAATTGAGCATAATGTGCCCATTGCACCTAAACCCGCGAGGCCAATGCTGCTTGGACATGATTGCTGTGTGGTTATATATGGAAAAAGTCAAATGATTCTGGATGAGGTCTTTCCCAGAGACCCTGAGATCAAAAGGATACCAGTACTCAAACTCTTGCTTCATCTTATTAAGAATAGAGGACGGTATATCAGAAGAGTTAGGATAAGGACCTCCACAGAAGAGAAAATCCCAAACCTCATCAGTCATTTGGGTAGGTTTCACTCCATTAGTAAGGCTTCCATACATGTCCCCATTTTGTAAGATGTGAGCAACAGTATAATAAGCCATGTAAATGGTTGAATCAGATAATGATTCCACAAGGAAATCTTCATCCCAAGGAATTCGTGTCCCAAGCCCAAAAGAACGAGAGCAAGCCCACTGGTTCAACCAACCTAAAGTGTGCTCAAAGCCATGACGAGTCTCATCAGAGTACAGACTCATGTTAGACAAGCACTCGTCTGCTAACTTCTTCCATTCTGGTTCTCCATATGTGATGTACCACTGATCTGTAAGTGCAACAACACATTCATCGCCAGACCTCGACATTACTTTCTTCTCAGGCTCACTGTACATTATTGCCTGGCCAGTCTCAATAAGCTTGGTTCTTATCAATGGCTTAACTTCATTGACCTTATTCCCTGCAAATTCCCCAACAAGCATTGTTCCCTCCGTGAATCCTCTCAAGTATGTCAACTTCTTTGCTTCTGCAAGCTTCTCTTTGTCATTTTGGCTTTTAATTTTCAGATCAATACAGACCCTTTCAGCTACCCTGTCTCCTAGTTCTGGAATATTGATGATGGGTACAATCTCAAAGGGCAACACCCACTCATCCTTCACACCATACTTCCCTCGCAAAGCTGGTTTTGCCTTCAAGTCATGTAGAGCCATATAATCATCAGGTGCATCACTAGGAACACTGGTCACAATTCCAGTACCTTTATCTGTCAGAATGGTCAACATTGGAAGAGCAAAAATGGGCTCATTGAATGCGAGAGGAGATTTTAAAGGAAGGCCAATAAGATCATAACCAGTCAGCTCAACCAAGCATGTTGGTTTCTGAGGCACCTTGGAGAAATTTTGATAAGCAAGGTTAAGGGCAGCTCTTTCTGTGAGAATAAACACATCAGTTTCATTAATTTCAAAAGCTCCATATTTCCCATCAGGCAACACCCAAGCATTAGTTTGCCCATACATTGTCTCAGGCCTCAATGTTGCAGCAGCCAAGAACGCTCTTCTCCCCTCTAAAGGCCCCAGCTTAGGAGGGAAAGGCTTCATAACCTCCATCTTGATAACAGTGTACTCTTGGGGCTGAACTCCTTCACCAGTTGCCCTGTCATGATCTGCACACGGCTGCCCATCTAAGGGCGAGTAAATAGTGTACCTGACATCTTTAACTATCTTGCCCATTGCTCTCAACTTCCTCATCTGCCACCTTACAAAGGTGTCAAAGAAGGGATTCATATCGGTGGTGACAAATGATCTTCTCCAATCACAACCTAACCCAAATGCCTTCAGGTCTTCCACTGCCAATGGAGGAAAGAATTTCAACCATTCATAAGGGTTCTGGAACCTAGCTATCTCACTGTCCGAAAGACCAAAACTCCTCATGATCTCCCACTGAAACATCTGCCCACCTGATTTTGCTGCTGCCTTAGACTTCTTCCCCTTAAATTTATCAGGGGCACCTTCATTTGCTTCCTGAGATTCCTCTTTGGCATTTGATGGCTCCTCCACCTCATCGGGAAACACGGGTGGGTTTCCAAACAGTTGGATCTCTCGAGCAAGTTTATCAGCAGAAGCCTTAATAGGCATACCAGTGCAGTGAAAAGCAAAAGGCAACAGAACATTGGCACCTCTCAATCTATGGTATGCCGCAGCAAATTCAAGCTTGGTGAGCGAAAATGCATGCCCCAGATGCAGAAAACCATTCATGTAAGGAAAAGGAAAGTTCCCAAAGAACTTTTCCCCAGGTGCTGGAGGAGATTCTCCAGGTTCAGCCCTGAACACATCCTTCTCATCCCACCAAGTCCTAACCTTTGCCTCAATTTCAAGGAGACGGTCTCTCCTGGCAAAGCTTTTCCCACCCTCCGTTGCCATCTCGTGAAAACTGCAATCAGAACTCATTGCTTCAGACTATAGCCTTAGCCTTTACGAATTATGATTCAATCTATCTACAAGTGCTGAAAATTTTAAAAACTATGAAGTTGTTTTGATGGGAATAAGCAGCGTACCTGAATCTTTGGATGAAGACCGCCCCGAGCCGGCGACCGAGCTTCTGTGATCGAAGAATATTGGTTGCGTCGGAGATAAACAAGTGGAAG